AAGTGTTAGAATATTTTTAAGAATAGTGATGATTAAAAACGTTACGTTCTACATGGGAATTACATACAGAAAGATGGGTAGGATTAATGAATCTAAAAGAAACCAATGGAACTTATAATTAAATTTCGTTCAAACCTTTCAATTTCACTAAGAACATGTAAATTCAATATTTCGTGTGAGTTCCTAATCCAATGGTTGTACAATAATTCAAAAGTTGTATAATCAATTCGACGATTGTACAATAATTTATATTAGAATAATACAATAATTTAAGTCTTCTGTAATCAATATTCTAATTTCTATATGTTTCATACGTTACGTGTATTTTTGCGTCCTCCATTCCCACAATTGCACGATCAAAATCCACACTTGATCGTGAACACAAACGCTACCCAATGTTAACTCACTCTGTTGGCTTTGAATAAAGAGCAGCTGATCGTGCGAAGGAGGACTATGAAAACGTGATTTCGGAGCGAATACGTTGCATACACCGCAGTGGCAAAATGGCAAAATAAAAGTGGCAGGAAGCGAGTAACACTGCGACAATCGGGGTAACGCTCGTAGAACACGGCGTTCTAACAGTAGCGAAACGAGTCTGACTATAGACGGCCCGTTACTACTTGCGCCGTCTGTCTTCCCGCGTCTTACGTTTAAGCCTGGCTTACTGCATCTCACCGGTGCTTTTAATGTACGCATTGTTTGCCAGATTGCTTACCTTGTTGAAAACACAGCAATCCCATTTATAATTCTCGAATTGCGTTTTTCTTTCCTCTGAGTAAAAGGTTGAAGTTTTGCCTTTTAATAAAAGAGAAAGAGGGAGAGAGAGAGAGAGAGAGAGAATTTGAAAAAAATAACAAAGTAATTCTTCAGCAAAGGTTTTCTTGCGAAAAATGTATTGCTTTGTTGGAAACGTTAAATACCGATAGTTGTCGGATCTTGTACAGTGAATGGAAATAAAAAATTGAAAAATTATTATTCATATTATTTTCGTGTGCTAGAAGAAAAATAAAATTACTGAAAATTGACATATTCTTTATTTCCTTCGTATTCAGTTTTCATTTCAACTTTGTAAATCTCCCTATAGTGAGAGTTTTAATTATTTCACAATATGTACAGATATTAAAAAAAGAACTAGAGCCACTTTAAATGTTATAATTCCACTCCATAATAAAATTATAATAAAAACAAATTCTGATGAATATCATAAAATTTCGACACCAAAATAAAAAAATTTTAGCACAGATGTCACAATTAATTTCTTTTTTCTTTTATCTAGGTTGTTCGTAAGTCTTACATAAGTCTTACACATTACATTCGACGAAATTTCATCGATTAGTTGGCAATTTCAGTTTCATCAGGAACGTCGGCAAAACGCGAAATAAATATTCGTATCAATTAATACGGTTAACCAACAGTTTGACTAAGAACTATCGTCAATACACCAAATTTTTTTTATTAAATTTTATATTGGAAAGGATCGATCGATGAGAAAGTTGATTCCTTTACATAGTATTTCGAAACACGATGAAAAGTTGTTTAATAGTTAGCTGCGGACGTTTACATGACTCTGCAAATTTCAAATATTTGAACAGAAACATGGATTTTAAACATTTCATGCTATACTAATTTATTTGTTAATTAAAGTTATATAGACCTTTGAAAAGTGAGAGATATTCTTCACATTTATTCACTGGAAAATAATTGAGGAAAAGGATTACTAAATTCATTATGCCGTGCAATTATCACAGATGTATTAACTTTCATCCAGAGAATACTGAATTTATTCAGCCGCGTTCGTATATATAAAAATATATATATGGCATAATATATTTATAATATCAAATGTATAATACATATATTTTTATTAGTTTCATTAAAATAATATAATTGTACAAACTTGTATAATATTTTAGACTTTCGACTTATTTATGCAACTTCTTTTACACAAGACAATGTTTCAAAAATGTTTTAATTTTAACTAATTAACTAAAAAAATTAATTTTAACTAAAAACAATTAATCCACATCCCTGAAATTTGGCAGACGTGTTCAAATTTTTGTAATTTGCTGCATATACACAACTAAAATGATTAAGGCACTTGCTCATTTGTGATGATTGTATTTTAATTACGTGATATCATAATCATTCTTCATAATCATTACGGCGTGTAATGTAATATATTATAATCCTATTAAATTAATCTCTGAAGCTCAGTATACAGTAATAAAACTATTGACATTTGTAATAATGGGATTGTTTCCCACTTCAACAGGATTGTTTCATTACTTCACAAACTATTTACCTTTGATCCTTAATTTTTATCTTTAACTTTCTCTCGCCGTTAACTCTTTAATTAGTCAGTTACAAATCAAATTAAGAAAAATACTCTAAAAAGACTTTTGATATTAATGCAAACAATAATATTTTAAGTGTATCATATAAAAGTGATACGATTCAAAAAGATGTGTTATTTAAAAGGAAATAAAAACTATTTTTGTGAGAAATATAATTGAATATCAGCCCGTTCAATCAAAGGAAAAACGAAATTCAAGAAATAGTACACTTTTCACTTTATCAAGGCGCGCTCATTCACGATGATAGAATGAAACTCATAACAGAATGCATTTATAGAATATAGCATAGTGTCGCGTGAATCAGGAAGAGCGACATAATTGCTCTCTGCCGACTAAATTATGAAGATAAATGAATTAGATTTTCATAATTGTTCGAGTGTGCGTCTCTGCGTCATTCTCACGAGTGACAACTCGAAAATCGCGTTTTTCGATCTACATCATTTTTCTCGTAACTACAGAAGGTATTATCTTTTATGTACGTATATATTGTACGCGTTACGTAAAATATTTTGAAATTACTAACTTTATACGTTTCGAGCTCTCTAATACATCTGTCTTGTTATATTTATTAACGTATGATTTTACACATGCGTACGGAAGATACAAAATATTTACTGCAAGCATAGTTAGTTATAAATTAGCGTGAGGAATCATTTTAAGCGTATTTTGTAACGAATATTTAGATTTATCAACATAATTCACTGCTTACATATTCACTGCTTGCATATCTTGTTGCTTTTATTTATTTCCAGATCTGTTTGAAATTAAAGACTTTATTTATTTAAACTTTGCCGTATCATTTGTTCCGAATTAATCACAATTAATATGCAATAATGTACAAAATATACTATTCAATGTAAAATACTTGTCACTAATACTTATTAGATGAAATAAATTTCTATTATATTATATTAACAATATAAAATTGCATAAAAATTTGTAGAACAAAGTGTTTAAATATCTTTATCAACAACTGCATATAATAATAATTAAGCATTATTCTAAGTAACTGAGAAATTTTCATTATTTTTTATAAAAATAAAAAACTATTCTTTCGACGAATTCCTTTTACATTTTTTTTCTTTTCTATAAAAAAAAGTGAAGAATTTTTTTTCAACTATCTTGTACCTATAGATTAAAAACAGATATCATCTAGGTGTCGTTATCAAAAAAAAAAAATTCGTCAAAAAGAGAACAACTATTTCAATAAATAAAATAACGTTTCTCTATATTTCTTCGTAACAGAAACAACAAAAATTTTTTTTGTTTGCTCGATACATCGTTGTTACGTATTTTTTAACAAAAAAGAAAAAAAGAGGTTTAGATTTATAGCCCGGCGATCCCTATAAAAACTTGTCGTGTAAAAGAGCTACCACGACAAGTTCACCAAAAGTGTTTCAACTATTTATGAACGATTGTACGTAGATACTTGATTTCGATTCGAAGCGACGATGCGCGAAGTTATCTTTGCTATTACAGCAGCCGATATCGCGAAACAATGTACCGTGCCGGCCAATAAATACTGCGATTAAATTACTCTATCGTTGACACGAAGGATCACGCTAATGGTAGCCAGTGTCCACGATAAAACGCAATTATCGGCCGTGATCGGCAGAAACAGTATTCAAATTATTTTCGCGAATTAACGCCTCTGACGAGATGAGGAGAATCAAAGCGAGAGGGCCGAGCTGTTCTCAAATTATTCGCTGGTTACTCGTTTTCTCCATTATCGATAAACAATCGGGAATCAGTTGTTTCATCGCGCGAAAACAGTCTCTTTAATGGAACGGGTTAATTACCACGGTCCCACGGTTCCGCTTGGATTATGAGCGACGAGAATTCTATAAAACCATCCCTCGAAAACCACCGAAACGAATCTGCACTGAAAAAAAGTCGAGAGACGTGGAAAAAAGTTATCCGGAATCTGTTGCGAACGATTTGAACGAGCTCTGCGAGATGGAAACAGTAGAAATACATGCGCAGGATGAGTTCAATGGTTTGGTTTTCAAACATTGTCAATGGGTATTCTGTGGGTAAAAACTTTACAAATGGCTCGTTACAAAGCTGAAAAATCGAAAATTGAAAGTTGAAAGTTGTAAAATATGAAGCTTGAAGGACAATTGGTGGTGGTTTATAATCAAATTATTTCACGAAAACGTTGTCTAATTATTTCGTTCAGTGTCTAACTTATTCTTTTGAATCGCTTGTAATTATAAATGAGAATGAAACTGAAACGAAGGAAATTCTTGTATAGGAAAATTATATGTATCTTACACGAATAGATATTGTCAACATTATGTATCTTCTCTCATCTTATGTATTATATTTAAACTGAGAAAAAGAGTATTGACATACATGTGATATATGTCTGTCTCACATTTTTGTTAGATCTTTTTTTATTAAAGCACTCATAGATGTTACGTGACACTTTAGTTTCACTTTTATTTGTCAAATAAAATTTGAACACTAAATTTTTGGACATTCTGGACAAATAGTCGATACGAATAGTCACAAATCGTTGAAACAATTCATATTGAAAAAAGGGTAGTATCATTCGAAATCTACTAATAAAATGTAGAGGATATCTAGAAAGTTAATGTTTAAATTTTGCCAGTGTGTTCTATGTACAACAGAATTAACACTTACTTGTCACATTTCATACTTCTCATACATCTCTCTTCGAGCATTTAGTTCATGTCACGAACAATCTGAAAAATAAAAATTCAAAGATTCATATTGAATAAACACATTTAATTTTCTAGATTTCTAGATTCTTTTCTATATGACACTTAATTGCCACGTGCATATTAAAAATTAAATCTCTCGATATAAAATAATCAAGAGAAACGATCGCCGAAACAAACCGCCGAACGAATCTACGAATGAATTTCGAAAATAGATAAAGACAAAGAATGAAAATGCGGGAAAAATCCTCTACTAACGATTTGGTCACTGTCGTGAAAAAGAAACATTCGCGTTGAACTTTACAGAGAAAACTAAAAAGAGAAAAAGAAAGAATTGGAAAAAATATGTCATTAAAACAACATATATATATATATATATATATATATATATATATATATATATATATATATATCGCAGAGAAGTGGTATTCGAACGCGACATGAAAACATTCACGTAAACGTAAAGTCCAGAGACGTTTCTCGTTCCTTTGGTCGACTTGTTTCGATGGTTCGTTCAACTGACGAGCGTAATCCCCGCGGATGAACCGTGAAGAGGCAAAAAAGGTGCACAGGGAGGAATACGTGGAGCCTTTGTCTCTATGAGAGAACAAATGTGCCATAAAGGAGAGGTGCCTACAGGCCGTGCAAATAGTATTGGCAGCCAGGGCAAGCCAATATTGGCACCGGCGCCGCGAGTAGAAACGAATCGAAGATGCGTAGCTCCGTCGAGCAATTTCCAAGTCGCCGCGAAAATCTTGCCAATGGTGAAACAACCATTTTTAGTCTCGGAGAGCATAGTAGACTGAATCAATGGGAACTACCGTCGAAAATAACGTTTGATTTATTGTCTGTATCGAACTAGTTGTTTAATTTAGTTAGATTCACATGGGAAGATTCGGAATTTTTAAACTGAACTTTCTTACGCAGGCACGATGTTATTCTGATACTAAATATTATAATATAATATAATATTATAATATTATACTAAATAATATTATAATATAATATAATATTATAATATAATACTAAATACTAATTTTCTTAGCAATAAATCAATTTAAAACTGTAAAAATTGTTATTGAGCTAATTACTGTTGTTCATATAATTTAAATCTATGAAAATGATCAAGAAGTGATCTAAATCATCAGCATCAGACATCATGTATTTAACTGTTGATCATTCCTGCAGTAATACATTTAAATATATGTCATTAGAAATATTTAGATGTTTCTCGAAAATTTTGACAGTCACAGTTTAACTGTTACGAGACGGATTTTTCTCCCAAAGTAGGCCTAGAAATGTAACATACAATTTCTGGATATTTTATACAAATTCGTATCTCTGAGAGTATAATTTAACAGAAGCTTAGTATAAAATTTGCATTGAAAACCCTACATTGTATAAATATTCTACATTTTTTCATATCATACGCATTCCATGCAATTTTGCATCATTAAATTTTTCACAATATCACAAACATTTGCATTCTCAAAATTATCATTACTGTCTACCGCCTCATACCTATCGTAATACGTTTAAAAGTATTTTTAGAAATTTTCGAGATTGGAAATGTTTGTGCGTTTCTTAGAATGTGTCGTCAATCATTGTTTTCCCCTTCGGAAGCGGATTTTCTTTTCACGTCTCACCAGCTGTTTCGTTGATTCCCAGCTACCAAACTCGGGATTGAACACTGTTTCGCGCAATTGCGCGCGAAAAATATTCCAGTCCCTTCACTCGCGCGTGTGTGTATGTGTCTCGTTGTTATCCGAGCTTCAATAGTGTATGTTTTCGAAACGAGAGAGAGAGAGAGAGAGAGAGCGTGCACATTTGCATCGGCAAGGAGGCCGCGGATGCGTGCAGCTTCGAGTGAACCGGCTCGTATGAACGTGATGAATAATTTCTCGCCAGGATATGAATAAACAACGGGTTTCGCGGCAGTCGAATTAAAAGGCCCGGATACTTGGCCCGTGGAAAAAGAAGGTGAATTAAAATATTAAGCGAACTTCTCGCTTCGATGAAAATAACACTGTATAAGAGAACTTATATTCCCCCTGACTGATGAGACTGGAGAGATGAAGAAGAAGAAAAAAAGAAAGAAAAAAAAAATGAGAGTACACGGACGAAAGTTGAGAGAAAGGGGACAGATGAATACGAAAGTGGAATGCACATTCGTCGAAATACAGGCCGAGTCGACAAGAATTATTATCTCGAAATACCTCGTTCAATTGTTTCTTATTGATTTTGAATGAATAGCGTTGCGCGTTTAAAGAGACTCGTTAAATGGGCGTCGTTTAATTTATACCAATTATTCATTACTGGATCGCGGGTATTTGCGAGTTTCTAAATTTTTATTAACCTACCTGAAGAAACAGTGAGTTCTGATCACGATATCTTTATACATTTGTGCGTTTGCATATTAATTTCGTGCTTAGGTTTACCTGTTGTCCGTATCTTTTGCGCTGGTATTCTTCAATTTCCCAGAAATCCACGATTATTCCTTTTATTTCCCCCAAAAATTCGCAATCAAGAGAAAGTCTTTGACAATTATTTCTAAAAATCGACAACACTCGTTGTTTCATTGTTACAGTCAACGGGTGTAAATCATTCCGCGAAGCAAATTAACACATACGAGGCCGACGCTTTGTTTAATCAGAGACCCAAAATAAAATTCGAGATATCGGCCACCGGTTCGTTCATACAGTCATTTTATAAAACTGGATTACTGGTCATCAGTAGCCGAAAAATGATTTTAATCAGTCGTAACGATGAAATTAAATATTAATATCTCTTTATCATTTCACTTCTTTTCAGAAAATTCTCTAAAGTTTGCTGATTACTGATCAATCTCATCAAATCTTCCATTTGACATTTTTTTAAATCGTTTCATTTTTTTCTTTTTTCTTCTTTTTCAGAATTTTGTCGATCATTGATTGACAACTGGCTTCCATTCAAGTTTAATCTGCCGTTTAATTTCCATTTGGAAACGAAAATCACTCGTCGGCGAACATCAAAAAGAATTTCTCGAAAAACGAAACGATCAAAGAACGTTAATTTTTAATTGCTCCGACTGTAAATTAGACCACTGTTGCGAATGGTTAAAAATTTTTTCTCTCTGCAACCATTATCGGTGACGCAAGTTTAATTATTGTCGTCGGTCAAGCCGAATTTCAACACTGATTACCAATAATTACCAATAATTTTTTTTCTCGCTCGTGTGTCCCACTACAGTCAATCATTATTATTGATGTATAATACGCTTTTATTTGATCCCATTCTCCGTTGTAATTTTTGATTCATCTTAAAACGCGCTGGTACTGCAAATACCTGCTGTTTCTCTATCGCCTGCGACTTTTGCCCCGTTAAATTGCTGAAACGACCCATTGTACGACATTGTTACGGCACTCGTTTTAATATTCCGCGATAACGTTCGAGAAGAAACGCGAAAAGCGATCGCTTTTTCATTGACGCCGCGGGCTCTATTATCGTTTGTGAAACTTTGTCGAACGAGCTAAGGCATCGCGGCAACGAGTTCGATTAATAAAGGAAAGAGGTGGGAGAGGGAAAAAAAGAGAGAGGGGAGATGAGAAAATTCCTTGAACGACGAGGCGACTGAGACACCTGCGAATTGACTGCACTCCCGATAGGAATTTTCGCCGGCGATGAAAACACGAAATTGTTCTCGATTTTCCCGAGGAATTCGAGCGTCGTTGTTACCGCGAGCTTTCGAAATTATTCAACCGGCGACATTCGCGAGAACACGTAAGCAAGGAAAAACCGTGTTCTCCGTGCCTCCGTGTCTTCGTTGCAAGACGAACTCGAATTCCCAATGAAAATTAGACGAGAAATGTCAGACGTTTGTGCTTCACCGAGAGTGAAGCTCTAGTCTTCGAACTTCTGTCTGTATAATATATAAATACATGTGTATTATATTCGTTTGTTGTACGTATTTTATGTTTCAGATTTCATCGTTTGTTCGTTCGTTCATTTACTGCTAACGAAAGTAATTCTTGTTGTTAACTTGAAGATTCCTTATGTTAATCAATATACTTGATAAAGTAATTTTCGTAATTTGGATATGTTTGATTGACTGAATAATGAATTTCATGATGGAAATAATTTGTATTGCTAATTAGAAATACTATATCGAAGTTATTATAAAAGTTTCAAGACAGTGACAAAACAATTGAATTCAGAGTAAATTTAGAATTATTACGAAAGCACAGAATTAATTTTTAAACTCATATATGTTATATAATACATATTGTGCATGTTAGTACAAGTGTTAATAAAGATATTATACTATCATTTATTCTATTCTTTGCGTCATCTATCCTCATGCTTGACAAAATATGCAAGTTCTATAATCAATTTTTTTCTCATGCTGTCATTAATTATCAGTAACGTTAATGATTGATCAAAATCAAGATAAAATTTGAATCATCGATGATGGTTGCTGATAGCTATGTCAGCATATATAAACCAAACCAACCATAAATAAAATTTTAATCACTCACAATGGTTATTCGTAATCAGAACAATTGAAGATTAATATGTTTCAATCATTTCATTTCGACGAGATTTATCGATAACCGATTTCGATTTAACTGTCCTTCGATAAAATTAATTTTTAATCACTCATTTTTCCTAACTGTTATTCTGTTGTTCTCTAACTGAAATTGCAAACTTCACACATTTCTCATCGACTCGAAGTTAAAGATGCGTTCAATTTCACTTGCCATTCTATCACAAAATCGTTATTTCTCAATATCGCGATTATGGAAGAAAATCCCGAAGGATGTTTCCTAAAGAATTTTTCAAAGAGAATGCCTTAGCAGTTATCCATTATTGCGTCCTCTGATTATACATGAAACTTCGAGAAATTTGAAACTGACTGACAGACAATTTAGAACGTATTTATCGTCTGATTCTTAACGATTCAATTTCTTTCGTAAGCCAACAGCTCATCTCGCTCGGTGTTCGAACTTCTGTTTTCCACTACACATTACGCAGCGAGATGAGAGCCT